CCCCAAATGTTGTACCTCATCCACTGGACCCCAAAAAGACCACCAAGGACCCAATGCACTGAAACGCAAAAGCAAAGGTTTATGGTTTATTTGGGCTTAAGCTCGGGCTCTCAGACCTCACCATCGCAGCGGATCCGTGCTGAGATCCCAGAGTAAGGAAGAGTGGAGCCTTTTATAGGTTTTAGACAAAGGAGGGGGGGATACCAAAGATACATATTGGTTGGTTTAAGGAGCCCACGCACGCAAGCATAATTTTAAACCGATTGGATGTATAAGATGCAGCCCTGGAAGTTTCTTATTGGTAGGTGCTATTCTCAGGACTGTGGAATGTGCTGACTGTTACCTGTGGGGCCAGGAGTCTCCTTTTTTACCTTATAGGGCAGTTTTTATGCTCAGGCTTGGTTAATCTATAGTTTCCTGGAAGGGGGGTGGGGAATAGAAGGCGGGGGTCAGGGCATGCCAGGGTATGTCTAGGCATGTCTAAAGCAGCAGCCAAGCATTTTACAGAAGCTAAAAGAGCAATTAGTGGGGGTCTAGAGGGATTTGGGGGGTAGTGGGTGAATGAAGAGGGTCTCAGGGTTCTACACCTGCAGAAAAAATGATTCTCCCTCCCTCAACATCCATTGATTGCCTGTAACTCTTCATCTCGATGTGGGGCACGGTGACATTCCCCTCGTCCACCTTGGCATATTAACTACTTTAGTCATTATGTAGCTCTCCTTAGTCTACTATACTGTGGCGATATCATTAGTGCATTAACTAGCAGCAGGTGTCTTGTCTCTCTGGTCCTTATTTTCTGCCACCCTCACTCAACAATGTTCCCAGAGCATTAGACATAGATGTTGCATTGTAGATAAGTCACTTGGGGAAAGGGTCTTCATGGTCACTTGTTCTCTGCATTTGACCAGTTGTGGAACTTTATAATAGACTCCATCTGTTGCAAAAGGAAGCTTTTTTTGATGAGTAGTGATAACTGCACTTGACTAAATATAAGGATAAGTATTTAGAATACACTAAGAAATTACATTGGTCTCAGGGCATGCAGAAATAAGTTTTTATCAAGGATCTGTGACTTCTCCAGTCATGTGTTCTTGGCCACACAGGATTTTCCTCTCACTGAGCAAGGATTACATCCACTTATAAAACTGTTATTTTTTCATTTATATATATATAAATTGAATGTTGGAATTTTTTATATAATATAGTTTAATGCCCACTACCCCTAACCCAATTCAATGTATTCTCTATCTCGTGTGGTGTGTGTGCGTGTGTTGCAGCCTATAGAGTCTGATTTGTGTCCCCAGACCTCCCTCAGTAAAGGCCCCACAAAGAGTCCCATCCCTGTAAGACACTGTCTTTCCCTCTCACCAGCTATCAATTGCCAAAAGTTCCTTAGGTTGGGTTGGTATTTTTTACCCAGTCCATACCTAGGCTGAGTTTTTGTCTGATGTGAGCTTGCATAGGACTTGTGCATGCTATTAGCATTGTTTAGAGTTCATATGAGTAACTGACCAGCTCTCTGAAGACTGTTTCCTTTTGGTCATCTACCCCTTCTGGGGCTTACAGTCTTTCTACTTCCTCTTTCACAATGATCCCTGATCCTTAGAAGGCAGAAGCTTGATGAAGGTGTCCTATTCAGGGATCAGAGTCTCTTAGTCTATGAACATTGGCCATTTGTAGTTCTCTGTTTTAAGCACTATCTACTGTATAAGAATGCTTCTCTGGTGAGAACTGAGAGATGCATTAATCTATGGGTATAACAATGATGCAGTAAAAACCAGTTTAATACCATATCTATTTAGCAGAATAATTTAGCAGGCTTTCTCTCATTGCCTGTAACCTGCCTAGCCTCAGGTTCCTCAGGCTGATATGAATGTTAAGTATGGGCTCCATCCTATTAAGCAGACCTTAAATCCATTTAGAAAGTAGTTGGTTACCTCTAAAATGTTTATACCACTAGTGCACCACTGGGCATAACTTGTCAGGCCAGTTGTTGTAGTTCACAGGATTCACTGATGGGCAAGTCTCATGCTAAATTTTCTTTTCAGATTGTTTATTTGTATGTCTATATGCTTATTTGTATGTTTAGATGTTCAAGCTCTATGCCCTGGGATTCCTCTTGGAAGTTCTCTTTATAGAACAGTTCTATGTGACTGGTGGTATTTGGTGGTAGCATATTATCTTGGTTTTTCATATTATATGTGTTTATGTATTATGATCTGAAAATATGGGCTTCTTTTTTGATTTTGTGTCTGATGAAATTCTAACCCATCTTTGTTGAATAGAAGTTTTGTTCTGTCCTTTTTGCTAATATAGCTTGGTTGATTTCTGATCAAGTATGAACAGTCTGTGTTTCAGATTCTCACCTTCAATTTGTTTAGAAGGGTGGGGTGCTTCCCGTCTGGTCTTGTGTGCCAGGTGAGCAATCACAGCTAGAACTATGAGTTTGGAGATTTTTGAAAGCATGGGCATGTTCTAGCTAGCTCACCAGGGTTGTTCACCAGCTGCAGTTCTCATCCTAGTCACAGAGAGGGAAGATGTCAAAGAGTGAAATCAACTTTTTGAAATCTTTAAAGCATCAATCAAATAATTGCATTACATATAGAAATAGAACTTTTTAAATCATTATATTAAAAACTTTTATATCAACACCAACATTAAATGTTAATATTAATAAACTTAATGTTGAACAAATATGTACTGATTTGTATGCCATTTTCTTAAGCCTTGGGTATACAACATTGCAGAAATAGCACATCTGGCACTAGCCCTGGGACATTTACTTTAAAGAATCAGTGACCTAAGTGAGGTGTAAAGAAATCTTTGTCTCCAACTGCTTGATTATCCTTTTTTGTCCTTTAATGTTGTAAGAAGATCTTCTAATTTTCTAACTACATGGATATTAAGTTTTCTTAACTGTGTAATAATATAATCAAACTTTCATGATCTAAATTTTCTTTTATCCCTCAACTCTGACACAACTCTTGGTCCAATGACTTAAGGTAGGATATGGTCTTTGTTTCAATTTCTCTTTTCTGTTCCTTCCATCTCACCACAGCTCCAATGTTTAACAGAACACACAGGACAAACTAGACACTGTGATAATTTTATTTATTTTCCCACAGAGTTTAGTCTAAAGCTACGTCTTGTAGAACCTAGTTGTGGGTATTTTGAAAGTCTACTCACTCCTGTTGCCTAATATAACTGCACTGTAAGCATGAAATTTACATTTCTAGAGTGATCTCATGACCCTGCTCTGCTCTGAATCCCTATTTTCAGGATACAGTCCTCCATTTCTTTGTGCTGAAGTCTGTTTACCCTGACAAGCAACTGTCACATGCTTTCAATTGGAAGCAGGATGCTGACCTCGCCTTACCTAGGCAACCCAGTGTGTTAGTTCTTTAAGGTGGACCACATGTGATTGTGGGATAGCACCATCCTTCTTACACCTATGTGAAGTGTTCTCCAAGGATTTTGGTCAGAAAATTTCAGTAGCTGGAATTAGGTAATCAGTTCGTCACTCACCCTTTTCCGGGTATTTGTTGTTGCTGTTGACTGTAGCACAGCTACATTTAGAACCCCTCTTTAAAGTGTAACAATATTTATCAGTGTTCTCAGATCTGAGTCTACAGTCTAGATACTTAGCTTAAATGATTCCTTTTAAGTACAATTATCTTTGGTCATGACGAGTTATGAAAGTATCATGGAGATAATCCCATTTGTTTCTGATGTTCTTGTAACTTGAATTGCGACAGTGAAAAAGCAACCTAGGTTTTATTATATTGATTTATATTTGCTAATTTTTTTCCAAATAAAGTCTCCCTGTTCCTTCTTTTTATTAACATTTTTATTGATTCTTTTAGTTTCATATAGTGTGTTTTGATCAGGGGTGGGCATATCACTTAAAGCCTGCTCAACCTGCTAAGTATCACTCCCCTAAATAAAACTGACTCTCCCTCTCCCAGTAGCCATCGGTTACCAGTAGTTCCTCAGCTATAGATTCTTGACCAATTCCTCTATCACATCTGGGTTTTTGTCTGCCTTGGATTTGTATGAGTCTTGTGCATGCTATCACAATCCCTGTTCTTTCTTTACATTAAGTGAATTTGATTCTCCTTCATGATTTTTCATGTGCCACATAGCATGAAACACTGTCTCCATAATAAATTCATGTCCATTCTCAGAGGAATCAGATCTCACATGACCAAGCAGAGCTCCTAGTATCATCCTGACATAAAGCTCTTCCTTCTAAGACATGAGAAAGCACCCCGAGAGAAGTAGACCTTCTCTCTCAGAGAGCTGGACTCTCTCTGGACAAGACAAGCAGTACTAGAAACATATCTTCTGAATAATTAATATTTACAATCAGCTTGTGATGTATAATTCACAGTCTGGAAACCACAGCCAGATGCCTCCAGATCAATCCAGTTGCTTTTTTATCCTGCTTTTAAAACTCTCTGCATTCCTTTTACTTTTCCACGTACAAAAACATTCCCACAGGCCAACACTGCTTTACTTACTTGGATCTCGATCCAGAACTTTGCCCTTCATTACTGCTTTAAAACCCATTTTAACTTGGTTCCACCAAAAGACAGTATCCATATTTTCATATAACAAATGTCTAGCAGTAGACATTTGTTGGCGACATTCTGGTGGCTGTCACTTACTTGTTCATTGGAGTGAAGCAGTTCATTGAAGAAATATGGCAGAGGTTAGGAAGATAGCTGTATCCAAAACCTCTCTGCTGTCTCTTGGTATTTTCCCCAAAGCACATTTGCAAATGAAATTCCTGAAGTTTTATCTACACTTTTTAAAGCCACATGTAAGCATTTACTGCTATTTCTGGTGTCCTGACTAATAAAGTATATGACATTAAAGCTACTCCCACTATAAGCTGCAACAAAGACCTGATGTTTAAAGGGAACTAAATGGAGTAGGTGCACCAAAGCCATCTATTTGTGCCCTCTCTATACTGTATACTAAATATTCTTTTCTCATAGAGCCCTGTGAGGATGGCTATTTTCAGTGTAAGGACGGAGAATGCATTCCAATGGGAAATCTCTGTGACGGTCAGCTGCACTGTAAGGATGGCTCAGATGAAGCAAGTTGTGGTATGTCTTATTTCCATGAATAATACTTGCATCACTTTAACTTTCATTTTTGGATTCTCTGTGAAAGGAAGATTAAACGTTGGTTTATTACAAGATGTGTCGAGGCTTTAGGATGTAAGCCTCTTTCCCCATGAGTGCTTGTGGACCATACTGCTTAACAGTGAAAATAACACCTAATCCTCTAGTTTGTGTTTTTTATTGTTTGTTTAACTTGGCTACATTTGATAAGTCTGGGGCAAGTAAGATTCAGACAGAAAACGTAAACATCAAAGATTGAAATGATCCAAGTCAGGCACTTTGTGGCTTCTCACCTCTCATATTGGTTGTGATATTCTGCCTGCTGCCTGCAGGGGAAACACCTCACTATGATCGTATTCATTTCCTACTCATCCTTCCTTGCTTAATTTCAGTCCGAGCCCCCTTTACACTGTGCTGCGAAATATGAATATGTGATATTTTACTATATATTGCTTTTTATTTATAAGAAAATATTTAACTCATTATATGTGTCATGCAGTATAAACGAAGTGTGGAAAACAGCCCCATAATCAGCGTTTCCTAGATTTTAGCAAGAAGATACTGAGTTTGAGAGAAGTTATACTGCTGCCAAAGATCACACAGCTAGTAAGAACTGAGACATTTTAAAAGAATCTTAATCTGTTTATTCTAAATTCACAATCTTAGCTGTTTTAATAAGAAGAATAAAGCAAAACCAGTATCAGAAACATGGTGTTTATAGGTAAAACTACCATTGCTGATGATTCCTTTGTTTGATCAACCAGCTAAAATTCAACCCACTTAACCACAACCAGTCATGATATTCTCTTCAAAACGTGTGTAAGGTGATGAGGAAGTTGATGTAAACCAAATAGCAAAATTTCAAATAAAAATATGCTTCTTGAGAAAACAACACAAGTAAAAATGCTGGAAGGTTTTCCCAAATTTCAGTTTTCCATCCAGTGACTCAATCCATTAGCAATGCTCCTCATAAATAACTTTTAATAGCTAAAATTATATCAACAGAATGTGTAGTTTTCAATTTATATCTTCCAACATACATTTGAGGAGAACCAAGATTTCTAAGGTCTAATGTTAAGAACATTGCACATTTTATTTAAATATTATCATTACTCTATCAACTTAGATCAAAATGATTTTGTATGTGATCTTATATTTTGAGTGCATCCCTGTATGTCTGTTTATTTTAATAATTTGTAGCAAATTGATAAATTATAAATATTTGTGTGGTACAAAGTGATATAATGGTATGTGTTTACAATGCTGAATAAGTAAGTCAAACTAATTGACCTATTCTTCACCTCAAGTACTTGAGTGTGTTTTTGTATGTGATGAGAAAATTAGAAATTTGTTTTTATTAAGAATTTTGGAATACATAATACATCAGTTACTACACTCACTATACGATGCATTTGTTCTTAAAAGCCTCCTGATTCTATCCAGATGTAAGTTTGTGCCCTTTGTCCAGCATCTCCACATCCCTCAACCCCCACTCCATCACTCCATGGTCTCTGGTAATCACCACCATACTCTCTGAATCTTTAGTGCGTTTTTTCAATGGAACAATGAGCAACAAAGGTTTGGTGCAGTTCAGAATCCAGAGCATATGGCATACAGCTTGTGCAGAGAACTGGACCACACAAATTTCAAATGAGGTTTGCCAGTTTCTGGGACTAGGGTAAGTGACTCTGCTGAGCTCAATTTTTATAATAATAATTATTATTACTGCTTTTGTTGTTGTTATATTGTGTGTATGATGTATGTTGCATTCTCAAGGTTAAATTTTAATAAAATCTTATTATAGAACTGTTTCACCACATACAGGCACACCACATCATGCATATGATGTCTGTGTGTGAGTATATGTATGCACATGTCATGATACATATGTGGAAGTCAGAAGAGACCTTGCAGGAGCCAATTTTCTCCTTCTACTGTGTGGGTTTCAAGGATTTATGCAGGTGATTAGGACTGCACAACAAGTGCTTTAGCCTGTGAATCCATCTTTCTGGCCCACTACTGAGCTCTCTTAAGAAATTATCTTTTTCAATGATATGAAATTGGATTTATCTTAAATTTGTTATTTATGAATTTAGAAAACATACATTACCAAAAATTAGTAAAGTCAAATCCCATATTTAAGTCATTTTTACAACCAGTAAAGTTTTAATAAATATATATTGAAATACTATAT